CAGCATGGAGAGGTCACTTGAGGGTGATGTTTTTACTCTCATGCATAATGCATGAGATGAAACACTGTATGTAATTACTCTAAACCTAACAGACCATGCCTTGTATTCAGTAAGATGAAAAATAAGCTGCTAATGACTGGAAATGACATTTTTCAATACCTTTTAACTACTCTTTCAAAAACATTACAATTATAATGATAATAATTGACTTGAAATCCATAATTATAAACAATTAACAGTTGTTACTCAGTTTCTTGGAGTAACTGTCCATGGCCTTAGTGGTAACTAAGAGGCCTGCTATTAACTGCTGAACGCTGCTAATATGTAGTGATTATTTCTCAGACAGCATAAGCCCATGTCCTCCTGTGTGACTCTTAATGGACTTTTGCATCTCTAGACTCAGACAGAAATTCAATCCAGAGGTTAAGAGCGACATGACACATTCCCTTGCATTCCCCCCAGCGTTTACTAGTTTAGCGGCAGGAACTGAGTAAATTTGGCTCCTTTTACATTCTGGAAACTGCCTCCTATAAAATGAACAGCATCAGAACTGCCACAAGTCATAGGAGAAATACTATAGGAAATAACAAGAGACAAAAAGGCTTGTCATAATCTTACAGGGTAACTGGAAAGAAAATTTAGAGTAATGGGAAGAAGTAGATGACAGGAGTGTAAAGAGAACCAACCTGCAAGCTTCAGTGAACAAAACACATGCTCTCCAAAATGACACATAGTGAGATACCCAGCTGGAGGTGTTTGCCTCTGAGATGGCTGCAGCCAGTTTACCCAGAGGGGCTGTATTGACTCACTGTCTTACAGAGGAGTCATCTTTGGCAGTGTAGGAACTGGCACACTCAAGTTCCTCCTCACTAGTCACGTTCCAGCCAAAATAAGTATTAGTAGAATGTCAGCCTCTAAAACATCAGCCTTGATGTTAGAAGGAGCTCTCTAAGCTGTGAACAGTGAAAGGCCATTATTCTTTCTGTCTGCCAACAGGCGAATGCAAGCACCACTCATTTACAGCATGTGCAAGGAAAGTGATGTGGTCACAGGAAGGTGTTAGCGTGTCCTGGCATTACAAAGACAGGTTGAATGTCCCTGCCCCCAAACAGTTAGTGCTTAAGGCAAGAAAGGGGCTCCAATACAAAGTAACAAGAGGTAATTTCAGGTGTGTAGGAGCTGAGCAGAGTGGGACAAGGAAATAACAGATAATGTCTCCAGCAGTCAGCAGGGAGATGTGATTGAAATGGGTTTGTCAGCTGGAAAGAGATGGATCTGTGAAGCAGTAATAGGGAGGGAGAAAGTAAGAAGACAGACTTGAACGTGGCAAATAGGTAAAGTTGGCTGTAGTGCTGCCAATAAAAGTGGAGTGGTAGAAATGACAGTGGAGATGTGAAGACATTTGAAGAAAGAACCTGCAATATTTTGAGATGCCAGCACTAGATTATGCTGCCACTATCAACAAGTAGCTCAAAGTAAAAAGCATGATGCTAGAAGAGGACTGACAAAAAGCTTATTTCTTAAATTGTTGTAGGTTACTGATTTATTTTTTTTTTTTAATAGGGCTATTGGCTATATAATGTCTACATTGTTCTACCCAATCGTCACCTTCATACTTATTGCAATTTGTATTTCCTACTGGGCTGTGACAGCTGTGTATCCTTCTGTTTGTGTACCTCTCTGGAGGAACAGTCTTCTGGTCTGCAAGACCAGATAATTCTCTACTATTTCACCTTCACCAAACCAGCGTTAAGAGGGCTAGGTGGTCATTTAGCACTTGCTGCACTGATGCACTCTCCCTCACTGCGCATTTGCATGTGATGTACAAATTGGACAGTGAATTTAATTTCATTAAAAAGAACTGGACATTTATACCAAGGCAGGGGGATCATACAAGGCCTTGTGTACTGCGTAAGATTGAGTTTAAGGGGGAAAAAGGGGTCCTCAGCAAAGAGTGAGTATGACCTTTAATGTGCTGCATGATCTATAGGCCTGGTGTTAGTGGTCTCTCAGTTAGCTGGGGGTGGGGTGGACTCCAGGTGTGTTTTATTCAGAAAAGTATAGGAAAGGAGTGAGAACATACAGCGCACTGAGTCCTCTGAATTGCATAATAGCAGCCACTGTCTGTTTGTTCCCAGAACAGAAAGGGTTTGTCAAGGTATCAGAAAGGGGAAAATTGCTTTTTGAAAACAAATGGTTCTATCACATGCTCAAAGGGTCAGTTATTGCTCTTCAGGACAATGTTAATTTATCCCTATGCTCTGTGTCTACTTCCACCAAAATACAAATTGTAAAAGAACTACTGCATAATACGCCTTTTCAAAGGTAGCTGTGCAGGAGAGACCAAGTCAAGTTTATTCCCCTTGCCCATTCTGGTCAGGGGTTATTACAGCTCCGGGATGGAGTTTGCCTTGGTTCTACAGTCCTGTCTATCAACCTTCATACACATCTATGCAGAGCAACAGCAGTTTTTCTGTTATTTGCACAAGTTCTTTAGAGCTGGTGGTTACCCACTGCAGAATCCTAAGTTGCTCAAAGCCTACAGTTCTGTGATTCCACCTTAAAATATTCCATTCAGTTTTCTGGCTACATCAGGAGAACCTGTGTATAAAGTAATGGCTAATCAAACACTGTGCAAGTATGCAAACCTGACTTGTGACCCGGAGGTAAGTGTAACAAATGTTTACCTATAGTGAGATCTATACTAATTGCACTTGTTAATTGCTATTAAATGCAATGCTAAGAGAAAATGTGCATATTTTAAGTGATGATTCCTCATGTTAAATCTGAAAATAGTACTTAGTGTTCAGATAACACTTCTTCATTCAAAGCAATTTACAGACGTAAACTATTTTTTCTGCTGAACTGTCCTGTGAGGCAGGTAAATATTAACTGTTCTAATTTACAAGGTGAGAAAGAAGACACAGAAATACAGGTTTATTTGGAAAGGTGTTCTTGAACTCATGAGGATTCTATTTCATGGTCCTCAAAAGGCAATGGAAGACTTTGAAAGCTATATCTCAAACTTGCCCAATGACCAGCCGTGTTTTGAAGCAGAGGCTTAGCTGGTTTTGACACAGCAATGACCTTCATGAAGCTCCAAAAATATTTCTCCTTTTTTTTTTTTTTTGTTTTATCTTCAGTCAAAGATTTGATTTGACTGCGGGGTTGAATTTAAGTATATTTGAAAATGAGAAATATTTATCAAATGTTATATCAGGGTTATTTTCAGATGTTTAAATTTCAATGTACTGCTGTGGTTGTATATCTCAAACAATTGTCCACCTTGCTGATGTTTGAATACTAAAAAAGAAAGGGATTGGAAATTGGTTTTATTTCATGCCCAAATGAGCAAATACATGAAATGAACAACAGAAATAGGGAAAAGTAATTCAATATAAAGACTACTGCTGTTTTAATACTCTGGGATAGGTAAGGGAAGTTGTGATCACATCCACAGCTGGTATAAAATGGCATAGCTCAGTTGATATCAGTTCCACTGTGGTGATTTACCCAATCTGCAGATTTGGCCTCTGGTTTTCAAAAAAATTTTTTAAATTTTTTTTTTAATGTGAGCAGGCTTTCCTTCATGAAACTGAAACGATTATGTATCTTAAAAGCAGATTTCTGAAATTCGTATTCCATGTATGTAGGTTTCAGGCATGTGGTGAACAGCCCTGATTGCTAACTGCATAGTTTAAAGTTAAGCACCTGCATAAGACATGAATCCTTAAACATGTAAACAGGTTACATAGTATTAGAGTGCAGTGTTGAACGAGCTAATGAAACATCAAGCAGAATTATGTTATTTGAATTAAGCTGCTAAACTTCAGAGACTGTGGAGACAGAATTCATTGCTTATCGTTGTGTTGTTTGGTTTTTTTTTTCTATACAGACTTTTAACACAACCAATGTGACTAAATTGTGTCCAGGTGCTCAGTGTACTTTTGCTTTTTATGGAGGAGAAAGCCTGTACCATAGGTACATCTTCATCTTTCAGTTAGCCAATGCCTTTGTCTTTCTCTGGCTGGTGAACTTTGCAATTGCACTGGGTCAGTGTACCCTTGCTGGTGCCTTTGCCTCTTATTACTGGGCCTCTCGAAAACCAGCAGATATTCCACTGTGGCCGCTCTTCTCTTCATTTGGACGAGCAATACGGTAAGACTGTGAAGCTGGATGTGAGCCTTGTCATGTATCCAGCAAGGGCTCTTTTTACATCTAGGGAAGCCAGACTTAGACTATCAAATGAGAATGATTAGACAGCATTGTGGTTTAATCACGGTAGGCAGCCAAGCCC